GTGGTGCACTGCTCGCTGCTCGCGGAAATGTCTCCGTGTCATAACGACACAGAATACAGACACACACGAGAGAGAGAGGGGGGGGGGCATGATGCGGGTGTTCGTAATTGTGATGATGGGTGTGGGTGAGTGAGTGAGTGGTGACCGCGAGTTACGAGGCGAGAAAGAAAGCAACATTCATTGTAAGTACAGACAAATTAGAGATCTCTCTCTCTTAAAGCTAAGAGCGCGCGTGTCTGTGTGTGTGTGTCTCTCTGCACATCTCATTTTGACACTTCGGCAGATTATATGGAAACACTGCAAATATTGTAAAGTTATCCACCGGCGTGGGTGATTGAGATGAAGATTACACCACAAGGGATCTTCAGCTCCGGGCTAGTGTGGTGGCGGTGGTGGCAGTGTTAATTTAAGGCCCCCCCCCCCTCTTCACTCGCTCCCCCCCCCCCTCCTGCCTCATCTCCCCTCCATGCTATACAGCTCCTTTGATTTTTTTTGAGTAACTTAAACAATCTCTGCATATGACGACCAACCCTGACATTATCACGGCCCTGACAGCAATTGTTATCGTGTCTGTTTCTGCGTCTCTCTCTCTCGGCAAATATGCCGAGAACTGCTCTGCAATTTTCCAACTGGGGCCCTTTCTTGCCGGCTTGAATATTTATTTATATATTATATATATATATTTTTTTTACCGTTGACCGGAGACGAGCTTAATAGCCGGGTGGCAGTCACGGAGACAGCGGCGTCTACAATCCGAGGGTCTCGCTAAAGGAGCGTTTCAATGAAATTCGAGAGTTGAAACTTTTTTTTTTAATTCATCCACTCGCACTTGGCTGGGAAACGACGTTCCGGGCAATGGCGCCTTTCGCAGCAGCACGTGGAGAGGGCCGGAGAGGTCGAGTTGCAGACGTGCCGTGACGTAGGGGAGGGGAGGGGGGGTCCATTGCCTGAAACGTCGCCTATTTTATATATATTTGTTATAACATCACGCACGCATACGGTGTTGTTGTTGTTGTTGACATAGGAAGTGTCGAGTTATTGTTGTTGTTGTTGGTTGTCCTTGTGCACCGCCGCTACTAACGCAGTTGCAGCAGCATCACCGCCAACATGATGATACATTTGCTGCACGCGGATTGGAATTTGGCGTTTTAGGGATTTAGCTAATGAGGTGCGATTGGTATGCCGATGTTTGCTTGTGACTATGAGCGCGTGGGAGAGGGGGGGGGTAATCAACGTTGTCGTTGACATTCTATATTAGAGCGGTGCAGTGTAGAAAAAAATAGCAAAAGCGCAGCCCTGCAATTTCTCACTCACGTCACTGCTGGCGGAAGGGGTCCCCCACCGCTCAAAGGAGCGTTTGAGGGTTGTGTTTTGGCCTTCTCCACCACGGTGACCAGACGCATTGGAAGGGGTACTCCACAGTGTCGTCATCATCAGCATAATTATTATTATCATCATCAGGATAGTCATCGTTTTCATGAGCCACGGTAATTCCACTGCTGGATGAATGCCTCCGCGGGAATCCGACGCCACCTCTCATGATTCCTGCGATGCCAACGACAACATTCCACCCACCCACCCCGCACCTCCGATTAGCACGGTTGGCTACGTACGGTGCGAAAGAAGTTCAGCATACACACATACATACAACTGGTTCCATCGCTCCGTCTCTCGGCCGCGTTCATTTCCTTGGCTCTCATTCGGTTATTTTATTATAAACTATTTTTTTTCTATTTTACCAGCAAATGTCTACTGAGCTATGCAGCTCGTTTCTCAGAAGCGACCTATCCACAAAATGATAGCTCAACGAAGTGGCTGATCACGTGGGAATTTATAGCAGCCAAATACTCTAAACGCGTGTTTCTAAATGTGGAGGGGAAAAAAAACCGGAGCACCCTGAGACAAATGCACGCGACCACATGGGAGAGAGTGATTCTTGCAAACGACATCGTCACGGTCAGAATTCAACCCACGACCTCCTGTATACCCGGCGAGGTAGTCACCATCTCGCCACCCTTATAATTCTCGATCATCGTCCCTTCCAACGACGCGTTCCTGCCCAAGCACACTCCCTGGCTCTTCTGAACGCTTTTGAGTGATGCCATTCACCCGCGTGTGTTCTCACGATCCACGTTTGTCACTCGCTGTCTCTCATTTTTCATCTCACGTGTGCTTCTTTGAGCACTTTCAACGCAGCAGCGGCAGCGCCACCAATACCACAAGGAAATTCGTCTGCTGGTCACCCATCCAAGTACTGTCCAGGCTCGACTGCTGCTTAGCTTGCGAGCTCTGACCAGTTTGGACGCGTGCGGTGCTGCTTTGCTAACTGGCAAACGAACCACAACGTGAATCATGAAGACATCGCCACAAGACACGTTCAACTTTTTTCGCAGCGTACGTAGCCAACCGCGCTAATCGGAGGTGCTGCTTCCTTAGGGCGGGGGGGGCTTCATCCAGCAGTGGATTGACCATGGCTGTGTGACGATGCAGCAGAAGCCACGTTCCCGTCGTGACCTCACGCGAGGTCACAGGTCAAAGCTCCAGAGCTGCCCGGCCCAGTCGCGTGACCTAAACAGTTCCTGTGCAGTCACGCGGAACGGCGGCCGCCAATGCAAATAAATTATTATTTATCACCATGGCGCTTGTGCCAGGCGAGGTGAACTCCGAGGCCACGCGAAGTGTCGAAGGTTCGCTGACAGGAGGTCACGGGGCAGAGCCAGGTGGTGCCATGGGTCGACTGACTGAGATGACTGGCTGATGCACCACCTGTGCCCCCTACTGTGCCAACTTGCTATGGTTTAGCTACCCGGCGCTCCGCTCGTTGTTGTGAGCGTCGCTCCTCCGCTCTCCGTTGTTGTTGGAGGGCGACTGCCTCCAACTGCCCAGTAGCGTCCTTCACGAGCCTCCTCCACAGAGGCCGATCTTGACACCGCTGGTACCAGTCATCGACAAGTCCACTCAGCTCCACGTCCTCCTGTACCACATCACTCTATCTCTTCTCTAGCCCGTGCCCGCACCCATTTAGTCCCCTCGATCCGGCCGAACAAAAGCTGTTTAGGCATGCGGTGGCTGGGCATGCGGGATACATGACCCAGCCAACGCTAGGATGGATCGTAGGCAGGCCAGCCTAAATGTTTCTAACCGGCGAAGATCTTCCATTAGGAGGGTCCACGTTTCGCAAACTTAGAGAAGAGGGAGGGAATGAACGTGGCCGAGAAGACCTGAAGTTTCGTGCGGAGTTATAGACCAGGTAGCACAAACAACAAAGATCCCCCGTATAGCCTTAACAGACTGTAGGGGCAAGTGCTGTTAGCGAGCACCTATGAAGGCCGGAACGGTACACGAGTGGGTGCGTTGGCCAGCACCACGCCCGGCCGCCTTTGTCTCCCCAGTGGCGATGTTTACACACCGCACCAGGTACTCATTTAATGCTGAGTCGACCTAGGGGAGGCCCAGGACCGGTTCAGATAATCGTCACTGGTGTTAGCGAACCTGGGTCGCCAGGTTCATAGCGCAACGCGCTAACCGCTACACTACCGCTCCCCAGCACAAACACACACACGCACACACGCACATCTTCCGTGAGATGAATCTGAATGGCCTCGTTCGTAACTTCCACTGGGCCGTGGCGCTCGGGACGAGACAGACACCCGCGCGAGCGGACGGCGCTAGCATCGCACTCTTTTATTATTTATTCATTCATTAATTCATTCAATATACATATTTTACGTGCGCGCTCTCCCGAGCACCGTGAAAGGTGGTGATTACTACACTGCGGAAGGGGGGACACTTTCACGTGTTGACGTTTTGAGAGCGCCAAATTAAAATGCAGAGTGTGCTCAAATTGCGGGCTCACGCTGCCTGCTCATCCTCCCTCCTCCTCCTCCTCATCCTCCTCCTCCGCCCCCCCCTCCTCCTCCTTCCTCCTCTGTCGGCCCAGAGTGCTACTCGTGGCTATCGCTGCTGACCGCCGCTGAGTTTGGCCGTCGAGTTTGAAACTCCGGCGCGCTCGACGCTTCGCGCAATTTTCGCCGCGGCGTCGGCGCGTCGCATTTGCGCGCCTAATCCCCTTGAGTCTTGTAATTCCATTAATTTGCATGAATGTTCCACTAATTCTCCGCCTCCCACTCCCCTCCTCCCTCCACCTACTCGCTTTGTTGATCTGCCTCCTTCCTCCCTTCGCCTCCTCCTCCTCCTCGTCCTCCTCGATGCACCTCCGATTTGGCACGGTTGGCGACGTACGGCGCGAAAGAAGTTCAACATGAAAATAATAATCTAATCTCGTTCATTCTATCGTTCTTCCGCCAGCCATCTTCCTCCTCCTCCTCGCTCGTCTCCTCTCTGTCCTGTTCCTGCTTCTCCTGTTCATCCACCGCACCACCTCCTCCTCGGTCACCTCCTCGTCCCATTCCTCCTCCTGCTCTTCCTCCACCACCACCTCTTCCCCCTCGTTCTGCTCCCCCGTCCCTCCTCCTCCTCCTCCTCCTCCATCCCTCCTGCTCCTCTGCTCCCCCCCTGCTCCTGCGCGCCTGTGTGTGTGTGTGTCCGTGTGGGCGATGTGATTAATTGGCTTTTTTTTGTTAATGAGATTAACCAAACGAGATGGGGGTCTGCACAGAGTGCCAATCGTCGTCCCAACGATGACGACGCACGCGCTCGGCCTTTTTATGTCGATCCGCTGCGGCACGAAGCCCTCCCCACGCCGTGCGAGTCGTGGGGGGGAGGGGGGGGGGTGAAGAGGTGAGAGCATAGAAGTAGAGTACAAGAATAGATTTCGCTGCACTGCCCTCTGTTGCGCGCGCCACTTAACCCCGCGGGCTTATAAGAACACAGACAAAGATCTCCCGCATCGCATTAACAACAAGTGCTGTTAGCGAGCACCTTTGACAGCTTACAAACAATGTGTGTGACACACGTGCGCGCACACACTGGAGTTCCCCTACATCTAAACGCTATCCAGGTGGTTCAACCTTGCTCAGCATTCGGGAGAAGCCTCGCTG